ATCAGGGGTAGGATGTCCATGGTGAATATTAGGTAATTTCAGGCTTTGGAACATGTTTACGTGAATTTCCTACATTTTCTAAAAATGGTTAATTTTACGTACTAGGGTCAGGGACAGGATGTCTAAAGTGAACAAAGGTAATTTCAGGCTTCGAAACGGTAGTTTTTGCACATTTTCTACACTTTCTGAAAATATGACAACAGATTTCGCCCCATCTCGTCAGTAACTGACGTGACGGGGGTACCCGGCGCTTCAAAATCGGACGTAGAGGGAACCTTGGAAAAGCGTCAATATGTGACGACTTGGGAGTGAGAATGGGTTGGACATTCTGCTTGTCTGCTCCAACCCTCACATAGCTGGACATCAGAGGCAAGGTTCCCAGTTGTTGTTGAAACTTTCTGTGTTGATAACCTTTGAGCTACAAGAGMTGCTGTAAATCTGATTGTCAGTGGTGGGCACAAGCCCGCTAAAGTGCAAATCTGCTAATTGCGGACCTAAATATTTCATTTGCGCTTTAGCGGTCTTGCTAATCTTTATAATTCATGAGCGGATTTGCGCTTTCTAAAATTAAAATGCAGTACCGCTAATAACTAATTACATACCAGTCATCATTATCTTGAACAGCAGAAGGTATGGCTGTCAATGAATCACAATCCAACAGCACCCCTCCCAGATAAACACAATTATTGCGAAGGTATACATCCAGTGGTGGGCAGCACTAATCCAATAATTAGCTCTGCAATTTCTAAAGCGCTTGTAAATATATTTAGGTCTGCAACTTCAAAACAGCTTACGCTATAGAAAAACTAGCGGAAACTAATTTTAAACCACAAGTTCAATTTGACACTTCCTAGCTAACAATTCATGTACAATATGCACAACACTGCACACTAGCAGTGTATAAACTCTTTTACAACTTATTTCTATAACCGCCGATTGCTGGGGATCTTATTTCCTGAAACAGAACTTTTGGCTCCTGGTGTAAAAATTAAAAAGTTGTTCAGGATTACTAGTTCGGCTGCTTCTTTGTCTTTTTCTTTTGTTTGTTGTAGATTTTTCATTAAAGAAGCACCAATAAAGTAATTTTAAAACTGTTTATTGGAAAACTGAAGCGATGCATTCTGGGTACATGACAGACTGATGGGAAACGAAAGCACCGGGAAAAGGAAACTAGCATCTTCCCTTCAAAATAAGAGCTTGGATTTTAAAGTTTTTCATGTTTCCATCGKATTTTAAAGTTTTCCAGTTCACCTGAAACTCATCAGACTGAAGAAGTCTCTTGGAGGAGAGACGAAACGTTTCACTAAAGAAGAACCCATCCAGAGGACCTACTTATTTTTTCTTTTTGATTTTTTTCTACCTTACTGAGATGCATCAGGACGTTTTCTATGTAGTTGCTCCAGTTGACCACTAGATGTCTGTCTTCACCAGCATAACATCTTTAAATAATTTCTGAGTCTCTAACCCCGTTGGCCGATTGCTTTTGAGCTCCAGCGTTTAAACTTTATTAATTTATTTATTTATTTTAAAAAATGAGCTCCGATTGTAAAGTAAAATAAATCAATACATACAAAATTTTAGTATGGATTACAAACCTTTACAGTTTTTGCTATTGCGTTCCTGCTACGTAAGCAGACACAAAGCGTTGTGGGAAATCAGAACCGTGATCAAAAGCAACAGTCAGCAGGATGTATACCTTCCCAATAAGCGTGTTTATCTGTGAGGAGTGCTGTTGGATAGATCACGTGTGTTGTGATTTATTGATAGTCTAACYTTCCACTGTTCAAGATAATGACTTGTAGATAATTAGTTATTAGTGCATTTTAATTTTAGAAAGCGCAAATCCAGCGCAAATGATACATTTAGGTCCACAATTAGCGGATTTGCAATTTAGCGGGCTTGTGCCCACCACTGTATACGTCCTTGCTGGCTGTTGCTTTCAGTCACGGTTCTCATTTTACAGACATTTCCCACAATGTTTTGTGTCTGCTTATGTAGCAGGAAGGCAATGGTTAGAACTATGTGACCGGGCGACACTCCCTGTCCCAGCAAAAACAGTTAATGTTGGTAATCCATACTAAAATTTTGTATGTATTGATTTATCTTACTTTACAATCGGAGCTCCTTTTTAAAAAATTTAATAAAGTTTACGCTGGAGCTCAATATTTGATGTAATTGGTCAAAGCAATCGGCCAACAGGGTTGGCTGAAGGGATGCAGAAATTATGTAAAGATGTTATGTTGATGAAGACAGACATCTAGTGGTCAACTGGAGCGACAACAAAAGTATGGAAAACTTTAAAATCTATGCTCTTATTTTGAAGTGAAGACGGTTTCCTGTAGTTTACCTGTAGCTACCTGTAGTTACCTGTAGCTTTCATTTCCCATCACAAATCAAATCTGTCATGTACCCAGAATGCATCGCTTCAGTTTTCCAATGAACAGTTTTAAAATTACTTTATTGATGCTTCTTTAATGAAAAATCTACAATAAACATAAGAAAAAGACAAAGAAGCAGCCGAACTAGCAATCCTCAACAACATTTTAATTTAATACCATGAGTCAAAGGTCTGTTTCATGAAATCACATCGTGCATATATTGTACATAAATTATTGTCAGTTAGTGAGTGTCAAATTGAACTTGCGCAATAAAATTAGCTTCTGCTATTGTCAAGCGATGGCTCTCTTTTGCATATAACCTGTTTGTTCATGTGGAGGCAGTGCTTATAAGGCGGAGTTCACCTGAAACTCATCAGACTGAAGAAGTCTCTTGGAGGAGAGACGAAACGTTTCACTAAAGAAGAACCTATCCAGAGGACCTACTTATTTTTTCTTTTTGATTTTTTTCTACCTGGATTACTGAGATGCATCAGGACATTAGCTTCGACTAGTTTTTCYATGGCATAAACGCTTTTGAAGTTGCGGACCTAAATATTTTAATGAGCGCTTTAGAAATTGTGGAGCTAAATTTTGGATTAGCGCTGCCCACCGCTGCTGATTGTACCAATCAATTTCTGAGAGAATTCTTGTCTTCAAAATTCTAAATGACCACCTTCCAATATGGCGGCTTTCAAGATGGTGGCCAAGTTCTGGACATAGACTAAAACATAAGATCATTCACGCATTACTCACTGGTGCATTTAAATATTTATTTTTCTGAGGCTTTTGGCTCACCCTGTACAGGGGACCAAGCAAATACAAAATTTGTTACAGGCGATCACCACCCTTATCTAGAAGTGAGCACACATTTCATTTGGTTACACTTTGCATCACACGTCATGCACAGTCAGAATCAACACAGACAGCATGGTTGTCAGAAGTGATGTTGATTTTCAATCGATGATGAAGAAATTGAAGATAGAAGGTCTGGTATTTCTGTTGTTAACTAAGGAGAAGCACTGTTTGGTAAATTTGTCACAAAGAGATCGCCACTATGTCCAAAAGATGCGGGAACGTGTCCCTATGCTGTCCGGCCAAGGTGCATTCGTTCCTTAAGGACCCAGCATGGCAGATCGGCAGCTGACATGTCTTGTGGTCACCTGGTGGTGGGAGGCTCATTTTCTCACATACTTCATAGCCCATGAGACACATGTTTCAGAGCTCCTGGGGAACCCCTCCGACTGCTGTACACAGCATGGGTTTCTTCCCCCTGGAGTCTCCATTCCGATATCCATCATTACTTTGGCCACAAATCTGCCAGAGTTTAAGCAAAACACTCTTTGGCAGACTTGGTGCAAATTTGTTTTTTTCTCCACCCTTACATTTTTAGGCATTTGACTATCTTTACAAGTGTTGAGAGTGCAACAACCGGCTTCTGGAAGTGGAAGCAAAATGCCACCAATGCTGTCCGAGGGCTTTCAGTATAAACAAGCCTGAGAATAAAATAACATATTTGTCATGTAACTATATGTCGGTGAGAGCAGACAGGCTTAGAAGGACCATGCAGRGGCCATTAGTCAGCACAGTTATGGAGAGCTGCCAGTTGTTGTCTTCGATGTGCACAAAATTGTTCAATCTCCTTTTATGAGTTTTATTGATTTTTTTTCTGTGTATTATAAAACTTTCTTCATAATTTTTCCTGGAACAGTTGTAACGTTGGCTGTATTTTCTCACAGCCTCGGGGATCCGCTCACTGCTGTCACTTTACATAAACAAACATACTCTCAAAGTTCTGACCTGACTCTGGTGAGAACAGTTTCCGACTGGGGGCAATGCACAAGAAGGGACATGCAATTTATTTCCATGCACCCACGTCAGCAAGACATGAAAATAGTACTTTTTCTTGTTGATAACTTCATCTGAATGGAAATGAGAAAAAGTTTAGGTGGGTGTGGCAGGTCTAAAGTGAATAGGCTAACTGCAGCCATGTTTCCATCAACATTTTTTTTTGCACATTTTTAAGTATCGCATTAGAAAAGGTGAATGGAATTGGCACAATTCGAAAAAAAACTTCCTCTATTTCGCAAAAATGTTCATACGCTCACGGTGGTTTATCGAAAAAGAGTTAATGTGCAAAAGGGGAGATGGAAACACATTTTCCAAATAAGTTCAGACATTCTTGATTAGCTGTTCCTGTTGGCTGTCCAGTACCAGCTGCGACTGCAGCTGCTTCTGCAGCTGGACACTCCTCCCGCTATCTGTGTCTTCTCAGAAATTCCCATTAAGTGAAGAGAATTGCATGTCTTTCTTTACGTCTCCAGACAGCATGTAACATTGCCAAAACTAATTGATATGACAGAATAATTACAACTTTCCTGATAGTAACAACACATAACTTCTCTTCAKTGTCCTGAGATGTGGATCCCTGCGAGTTTGTGACCTCTACTTCCTGTTTACCACACCCAGAAGTAACGTCAGCGTCTGATGTAATTACTTTGTGTAGACTGGTTGATTTACTCCAAGCCAGTTGATGGAAACACTTCTGATTCACGTTTCTTCTTCTTTCCTTTTCGCGACATCTTAAAATTTCACTCAAAATTTGAATTAAAATTGGATGGAAACATGGCATTTGGAAAAGTACCAGGAGAAGTGGCTGGTGTCAAAGAGGAACACAGGGTGACAAAACAGAAAAGAGAACTTAAAACACAAAAACTTTCATTAAAACATCCAAAGATTGTGTCTTCTACGATTGATATCATGGTTAATAAGGTACTAACTACTGATAAAACATTGGGCCTCATGCAAGAACATGTTCGTATTCTTATCCTAAATTTCTCTTACTTTTGTTCGTACGTCACGTCAGATTCAACAAACGCTTCTATCTTCAGGAAACGTGCGTAAATGAGCTGCGTAATTTACACCTTTTCTATCCAGCTGCTCGTGCATGCGAGAGGAGATTAGCATAATTACCACCCCAAAAACACCATATAAGGCTATGCCTCAGATACAACAAAGTGTTCATTCATTCATGAAAATTACAGCGAAAACTGAAAATATAAAAACTTTACGCGTTCAGAGATTGAAGTCC